CACAAATGTTGAACAGGTAATTTTCAGAAACTCTTTTTATTTCTGACCACCTCTTTGCAATAATGTAGAACTTGTTAGCTCAACTTCCAAATTTATCAATTCTGAAGAATATCCTATCTATTTCCAATATGTGTGTCAATGATATTTTCTATGTGTGATTTTTAGTATTTTTAATTGAAGGTGGATTTGGCTGTCTAAGTAGTTGAGACAGTTTGTGCGCTAAATGTTGAAAGAGAGAAGAAAATAGTTTCTGTAAGATAATACGCAAATGAAATCAAGCAAAGATTTGAAATTCTTGTTTGACAATATTCATCTTGCTTTTAAGACAAAGTTCTAGCATGTGCTACAACACCGAATTTGTGAGCTAAGTCCAACCAAAATGGCATGGTTCTAATTTCTTAAATGTTTAGAGATAATTCTTGGTATTCAGATCTGCTAATATGCATGCCTATTTCTCTATCATTTGAATATGTAAAAACGATGGTTGTCCTTGTCCTGCAGTTCCTGGAACCTCTGGAGCTGTGCTATAGATCTCTATGCGCTTGCGGTGACAGACCAATTGCGGATGGCAGCCTTCTTGATTTTCTAAGGCAAGTTTCCACCTTTGGTCTCTCTCTTGTGAGACTTGATATCCGGCAAGAGTCAGATAGGCACACTGACGTTCTAGATGCTATAACGAGGCACCTGGGTATTGGATCCTATAAAGAATGGTCTGAAGAGAAGAGACAGGAATGGCTCTTATCTGAACTAAGTGGAAAGCGTCCACTGTTTGGACCTGATCTCCCTAAAACTGATGAAATCGCTGATGTTTTGGATACCTTTAATGTCATTGCGGAACTTTCTGCCGATAATTTTGGTGCTTATATTATTTCAATGGCCACGGCACCCTCTGATGTGCTTGCCGTTGAGCTTTTGCAGCGTGAATGTCATGTAAAAAGTCCATTGAGGGTTGTCCCGTTGTTTGAAAAGCTTGCTGATCTTGAGTCTGCACCTGCTTCCGTTGCTCGGTTGTTCTCCATAGATTGGTACAGAAACCGTATCAATGGGAAACAAGAAGTTATGATTGGGTATTCTGATTCGGGTAAGGATGCTGGCCGACTATCTGCAGCTTGGCAATTGTACAAGGCTCAAGAGGAACTTGTAAACGTGGCGAAAGAATTTGGAGTAAAGCTAACAATGTTTCATGGCCGAGGAGGGACTGTTGGACGGGGAGGGGGTCCCACCCACCTTGCCATTTTATCACAGCCTCCTGACACAATCCACGGTTCACTTCGTGTGACTGTTCAAGGTGAAGTTATTGAACAATCGTTTGGGGAGGAACACTTGTGCTTCAGAACTCTTCAGCGTTTCACAGCAGCTACACTTGAGCATGGAATGAACCCCCCTGTGGCTCCAAAGCCAGAGTGGCGTGCCCTATTGGATGAGATGTCTGTTGTTGCTACGAAAGAGTATCGGTCTTTGGTGTTCCAGGATCCACGATTTGTTGAATACTTCCGCCTTGTAAGTACATTCAAGATACTTCATAAGTTGATTAGAACTGCTTTTAGAAGACTCTTAATGGATCATTTAAAAAGAGGTAAAAGAAAAGAACATTCAGCAACCAAAATACAAAGAATTGAAGGACACGAACAATTTGTTAATAGGTGAAAGCGGTCAGTTTCTAATAATTAGTCAAAACAGACATGGATGGCATTTACATTTCAGACATTGGTGACTTAAAATGAAGTTTTACCATAACATTCCTCTAAGAACCGGTATGGCATTGATTCAATTATGGAATCATGAATAGTCATTGGTTGGGCTGATGTATAAACACCATAATCTATACTTTGTTCTATATCTATATACTATAGGTATAGGTTACTATAGAGATAGGTGGATAAATATTTTTCTTTAGCCCTATATGTAATGTGTAGAAATGACATCAGGTAGCCACTTTAGATGGCTGTATTTAGAAATTAGTCAGTGCGTTAAATTTTAGTGTTTCAATTCAAATTTTTAGGACAAAAATGTTTTGAATTGTCCTGAAGTTCATATATTTAGTTTAAAATTTCAGGACAAAATAAGTACCGGCTAATCTCTAAATAGCATATCTTATCTGTGCACTTGCCCCACGTAATGTGCATATGAAACTGAACTTTCTATTTTCTGTTTGTCAAAAAATGCAGGCAACCCCAGAATTAGAATATGGTCGCATGAATATTGGAAGTCGCCCCGCAAAAAGGAAGCCAAGTGGTGGGATCGAATCTCTTCGAGCAATTCCATGGATCTTCGCATGGACTCAGACAAGGTTTCATCTCCCAGTCTGGCTTGGCTTTGGGGCCGCATTCAAGCATGTTATTGAGAAGGATATAAGAAATCTGCAAATGCTCAAGGATATGTACAACGGATGGCCTTTCTTCAGAGTGACACTTGACTTGATCGAAATGGTCTTTGCTAAGGGAGACCCTGGTATTGCTGCATTGTATGATAAGCTTTTAGTATCAGAAGATCTATGGCCGCTTGGAGAGCACTTGAGGTCCAAATATGAAGAAACAAAGAGCTTTCTCCTTCAGGTACTGAAATCTTTTCTTAATTGATTCACCCGAAAGTCCACTAGAGCTCATTAGTGACTTGGATTCTTGAAATCTCATCAAAAGCTAGGCTTGATATTTTATTTCAATGTTGCTACTTTTATTAGGTTGCTGGGCATAAGGATCTTTTGGAAGGAGATCCATACTTGAGGCAGAGACTCAAACTTCGCGATTCTTATATTACCACCCTCAATGTTTGTCAAGCCTACACATTGAAGCGAATTCGCGACCCCAGCTACAATGTGAAGGTGCGGCCACATCTAGATAAGGAGATCATGGAATCGAGTAAACCGGCTGCTGAGTTAGTGAAGCTGAATCCTATGAGTGAGTATGCTCCCGGATTGGAAGACACCCTTATCTTGACAATGAAAGGTATTGCTGCTGGAATGCAGAACACTGGTTAAGGCTAAGGCTTCATCGAATTATGTATGTTGAATAAGTTATGCTGTCTAACTATATAAATATTTCTGTTAAAGAAGAATAATGATGTGATGTTTTTGAAGAGTTGTGTTTCTTGGTTATCATTCACTATTTCGAACGTTATGCGTGGAGTGTTAAATAGAATGGATCAGAATGTCTGTAACTTCCTTTTTCTGGCTAGCTGACTGCAATTTAAGCCTCAGTCAATCAACAACGATTTAATTGCAACAAATATTTCTTCTTAATGGGGTAAAAGAACTTGGGATTGTCAATATTTTCCTTAAAGATTTTGACGAGTTGACGTGCAATGTGATGTTGAATTCCAAAAGGTGACAATAACATACTACCACTGTTCACTTTTAGTTGTCCAGTATTCCAAAAATAAATTTTTATTTTTACTTGTCTTTTTTGCATATCAAGTAAAAAATAATTTATTTTTTTGTTTTGCCCTTAACATTACTTACCCATTTCATATCATTTTCCAAATCCATTAAGGCTATACACTAATTAATATGGGTATCATGATAAATTATGTACTTTATTTATTATTTCTTAAGGGGTGTGCAAAGTCAACAGTGGCCAAATAAAAGTGAAACGGAGGAAGTAGTATAATTTCACATGTATGTGAGCTCTGGAGAGGATGATGTGCATGCAGAAGTTACTCCTACCTTGTAATAACGCATGTACTACTCCTGTTACATCTTAACACTCGCTGTTAGGTTTGAATGGGTCTTTGTTCAGTAACTTTAGGCTATAGTTTAGTATCCACGGGATTTAGCTTTTTCAGTTAATTTGTTTTTTGTACTGATTATATTTTCACCTTATAGGAGTTAGCTTAGCACAATTGGTTACTTCCTTTGTATATAAACTCCATTGGAGGCTCATCAAATATACAAACTTTTCATTCTAGTTTTCTGCCTTCATGTATTGGCGGTAAAAAAGAGCTACACGTGGAATATTAGACTGCTTACATTGCATAACATGTAGAAAAATAATATAGCAGTATGTGGCAGTCTTATTTAACAGAGTAAGAAAAGGCACGGGAAGAAACACCCACGAGACAGTATCGGGCTAACAGCTGGCAAAGAATGAATAAATAGTAGAAAGAAGGAAAAATACATGGACCGGAAAAAAATAAGGAAGGGGAATCGTAACATATTTAAGGCGTTTATAGCAATAAATGCATCGGTTATGAGAATCTAAAATAATGGGCAATCAATATCATTAATGCCCATAATTAGCTCAAATTATGGGGGAAACCCGTTACTATTGTACATTCCTATATAAGGGCACAAAATATTATTTGTAAAGACACACCTGAGACAATATTGAAATATACACTTTATTTTTATGCTTTCTCGAAATTCTCTACCTTGACTTTGCAATAAGTTATTTTCTTAGTTATTCTTGTTATTTTCCTTTGATACCATTGCGAAAGTGAAGCTAAACTTGGTTATCAATAACCCGTTTTCTTCTAAAATTAGACTTTGACCGAAAGATATATTTTTTGTTAAATAAATTGGTTCCGTTACCACGTTACCGGGAATCTGATAATCGTTTCACTTTCCAAATTCACTTTTCTGTCAAACAATCATGTCGACTGCCAACGACAACAACCAACTGAACCAACAAGAGGGAGGAACCCCAATCCCTTCACCTCAAAATTCTCCTCGACACTGCCGAGAGGGGTCACCTCAAAGATCGACATCACATACGAATAATCAACAAGGGGATGAACAAACTGCCGAGGACGTATTAAAACAGCTAATTGCAGAACACGTCAACAATGCCCTTCAAGCTTTCGTCAGTGGATTGCCAACTGCGCCACCAACTCCTCCTCCAAACAATACCGCTACTATAGAAAACTTGGAATGATGTGTACAACAGGTACAGTACGAAGCTGCGGATATAAGAAGACACTATCACTCGGTTAAGGGGTGATGAAATAACAAGTTCGAGGCGACCAGAAACCGAAAAAGGTCCGGTAAGAACAGGTATGAACCTTACATGGGACCAGCAGGACGAGATTCATGCTCTAAACAAGAAAATCCAAGGTATGGTTCTAGATCAAGAGATAGAGATGCAAGTTCATCATCCAAGTTCGGGAAAGAGCGAGATGCGCGGGATAGCAATGTTAATACAAAGACAAAGATTGGTGATTACAGTTTCAATATTAGCACTTCTGAGTTGGTAGCTGTTTTAAGAAGTATGGGAGATAAGGTGTGGTGGCTAAAAGAAATGAGATCAAACCCTAGCAGAAGAAATCCAGATTTCTGGTGCGAGTTTCATAACGACCACGGTCATAAAACAACAGATTGCAGATTGCTACAAGGTGAAATAGAGCATTTGTTAAAACAAGGTTATTTAACCAATTTATTTTGTGAGAAGGGTAAGCAAACGTATATGAAGAATAGACAAGAGCCACCGAAACCTCCATCACCAAAAAGGACGGTTAATGTGATAAGCAGAGGAGAAGAGGTCAACGGCGTGGCATATACGGCTGCAAAAAAGACATCAAAAGTCACGGTTACCCACGGAAAGCGGGTTCGCCAAGTTTTAGAAGAAGACAGTATAATGTTTGATGATGCAGATGCAGATGGCGTGATGATCCCTCACAATGATGTACTGGTAATATCTTTACTTGTACATGATAGTAATGTGAAACGAGTTTTGATTGATACAGGTAGCTCCGTAAATATCATTCTTCTGAGGGTGGTAAACAAGATGCAAGCTGATGACACAATGGTGCCCAAAGCACGTACCTTATCTGGATTTGACAATTCAAGCATTGTTACAAAAGGAGAAATAGTGCTTACCACATTTGTAGAAGGAGCTGTCAAAGATACGAAATTCCAAGTAATAGATACGGACATGGCGTATAATATGATTCTGGGTAGGCCTTGGATTCATGATATGGATGTTGTTCCATCTACTTTGCATCAAGTTATAAAATTCACTTCACAATGAGGGATTAGAAAAATTTGTGGAGATCGACAGGCTTCTAGAAGTATCAATTCAGTGGCGGATTCGAGCATAGCGAACGATGGTGCAGATGAAAAATAGCAATTACAGAATTCAATTGAGGATAAAGCAGCACAAACCTCAACTGAAGGTGGACAAACGGACGTAGATTCAAGGCCTGATGCCATTCAAGAGCCAGAAGAGAATGAAAACATCAAAAAAAACAATAGAAGAACTTGAGGCGATCACGCTTTTCGAGCAATGGCTAGATAGAAAAGTTTATATTGGAATGAAGCTAAGCCTAGAAATGAAAGGTAAAATTGTCAAATTTTTACAAGCTAACGCAGATTGCTTTACTTGGTCGCATTCAAATATGACAGGTATACCACCGGAGGTAATGACCCACAAGCTGAATGAAGATCCATCGTATCCACCTGTCAAATAGAAGAAAAGAAAGCAAGGATCCTTCAAAAATCAGGTGATCCAGGATGAGGTACAAAATTTTTAAAAATTGGGTCCATACGGGAGGTAAAATATCCTGACTAGCTAGCTAATACTATAGTAGCATGGCGAGTTTGTGTAGATTATACTGATTTAAATAAAGATTGTCCTAAAGACTCATTTCCTTTACTGCATATAGATTTACTAATTGATTCTATTGTAGGACATGAATTGTTAAGTTTTTTAGATGCCTATTCAGGATATAATTAGATAAAAATGGATCCTTTAGACGAGGAAAAAACTTCCTTTATCACATACGGGGGGACTTACTATTAGAAAGTCATGCCTTTCGGATTAAAGAATGCTGGAGCCACGTACCAGAGATTGGTAACAAAAATGTTCCAAGAACACTTGGGAAAAACTATGGAAGTCTACATCGATGACATGCTGGTCAAGTCAGCACAGGCGGGAGATCATATCCAACATTTGTTAGATACTTTTCAGATTCTCCGCAAGTTCAATATGAAGTTAAATCCCGAAAAATGTGCCTTTGGCGTGGCTTCAAGTAAGTTTTTAGGTTTCCTTGTTTCTAACCGAGGTATAGAAGTAAACCCTGCACAGATCAAAGCCATTGAAGAAATACCAGACATACTCACGAGCAAAAAAGAGGTGCAGAGGCTGACAGGTAGGATAGCAGCTTTGGGAAGATTTATTTCTAAATCTTCGGAGAAAAGTTTTAAGTTCTTTTTAGTGTTGAAAAAGCAAAACCAATTTGAGTAAACTGATGAATGTCAACAAGCACTAAAAAATCTAAAAGCATACTTGTCAAACCCACCGTTGCTGGCTAAACCGAAGGATGGAGAAAGGCTACTCATCTATCTCAATGTATCAGAAATGGCGGTAAGTGCAGTGTTAGTACGTGAAGACAAAGGTAAACAATCTCCAATCTATTATATTAGCAAATCTTTATTGGATGCTGAAACTCGATATCCTCATTTAGAAAACTTGCTTTAGCACTAATCTTGGCATCTAGAAAGTTGAGGCCTTATTTTCAATATCACCCTATCTCTATAGTGACCGCTTACCCCTTAAGGAATATATTGCATAAGCAAGAACTGTCAGGTAGGTTAGCCAAGTAGGCTATAGAACTCAGTGAATATGATATCGCATACCAACCTAGAACTGTCATAAAATCACAGGTTTTAGCATATTTTGTGGCGGATTTCAGCTCAGGGATAGTTCCTGAAGCAGAAAAGGAACTATAGGTATTCACCGTATCTAATTCGGGTACTTGGACCCTATTTACTGATGGCTCCGCAAATGTTAAAGGAGCGGGTTTAGGCATTGTTCTAATCTCACATTCAGGAGAAACCATAAGGCAGGATATAAAGTGTCGTCCCATTACTAACAATGAAGCAGAATATGAAGCTGTAATTGCAGGTCTGGAATTGGCACGAGAACTCGGAATAGAGCAAATTCTAATCAAAAGTGACTCACAGCTTGTAGTTAATCAAATGTAGGGGACTTATATCGCTAGAGAGGCGAGGATGCAACAATATTTGGAAAAGGCACGCGAATTAATCAGACAATTCCAATCGTGAAAAATCGTGCAAATACCTAGGAAGGAAAATGCGGAAGCAGACGCGTTGGCTAATCTCGCATCTGTTGCAGAAGTAACAAATGAAGAAAATGCTACCGTAATACATTTGTTTCATTCGGCACTCGACCAGGATCAAAACGAGGTAAATTTCAGTAACTTAACTTGGGATTGGAGAAATGGGTTCGTTAATTTCTTGCAGTACGGGATTTTACCTGAAGATAAGAAAAAGGCTTAGTTACTTCGACGAAAAGCTGCCCGTTATTGTTTGGTTCGTGGCAACTTGTATTGAAAGATGTTTGGAGGGCCTTTAGCAAGATGTCTGGACCTTCTCAAACAGAGTATGTGATGAGAGAAATACATGAGAGACACTATGGAAATCATGCAGGAGGAAGATCCTTGGTAAAAACTCTATTTAGAGCAAGGTATTATTGGCCAAAAATAGAAGAAGATATGGAGAGTTTTGTGGCCAAGTGTGACAAATGCCAACGATATGGCAACAACATGCATTGCCCAGCAGAGCTATTACATCCGGTTATTTCACCATGGCCTTTTATGAAATTGGGGATGGATATTGTAGGTCCACTACCACACGCCAAAGGAAAGGTACGATATTTATTAGTATTAACAGATTATTTTACCAAGTGGGTAGAAGTAGGTTCCTTCAAACAGGTGCAGGAGAATGAAGTCAGGGACTTTATTTGGCAAAACATCATATGCCGGTTCGGAGTTCCAAAAGAAATCGTATGTGATAATGGCCCGCAATTCATAGGTGCGAAAATCACAGAATTCATTCAGAGTTGGCAGATTAAAAGGATAACTTCAACACCTTACCATCCTGTGGCTAATGGACAAGCCGAATCGACAAACAAAGCTATTATTAATAACTTGAAGAAAAGATTGGAGGAGTCAAAAGGTAAGTGGCCAGAAGTATTATCAAGAGTCCCCTGGGCTTATCGAACAACATCAAAAACAGGTACGGGAGAGACTCCATTCTCACTTGTGCATGGTGCTGAAGCCTTAATCAGTAGAAATAGGTGAACCAAGTACAAGATATACCCAAGCGACTGAAGACTCAAATGAGGAAGAGATGCGAATAAATTTAGATTTGCTTGAAGAAGGGAGAGAAGTGGCTCTAATAAGGATGGCAGCGCAGAAACAAATTATTGAGCGATATTACAATCGGAAACCTCATCTCAGATACTTCAAGATTGGGGCTTCGTCCTCAAAAAAGTTTTTCAATCGACAAAAGCGGCCAATGCAGGAAAGTTGAGTCCAAATTGGGAAGGACCCTACAGGATTCGAGGCATTGCTGGAAAGGGTGCATATGAGTTAGAAATAATGGAAAGCAAAGTAGTTCCATCAAATTGGAATGTTGTTCCTTTAAAGAAGTATTACTTCTAAGCAAAGGAAGAACCCCCGGTCATGTATCATTCGTGTATGGTTTAGTTTTATTCTTTTTTAATTATACTAACCATTTTAGATGATAGGCACAAAGCTAGCCCACACCAAATGATGATATTAGACCTGAAAGACACGCGGGATACAAAATTATTCCCTGTCTGGGTTACAACCTTTCTGAGTGGAAATAAAATGGGTTAAGCAGTCATCATCTAAAAATATACCTCCGAGTCACGTATGTATTTTCCTTTTCAGGAAATGGACCAAATGGAAGGAATAATCAAGTGCTCGGATTTCATACTTCAAAGCTCTAACACTTGGAGGCCTATAGATAGAGGGCAAAGAAGACTGAAAGTCAAAGAAGACTAAAAGTCAGAGTTCAAGCTTGGATCAACCCAAAAATCAAAAGTCAAGAGCCAAAAAACAAGTCTAATTCAAAAACCTTTGTAATAAGCTTTGATAAAGTGTAAACTCGCGGACATAAATTACAAGATCCTAGGAGTACTTAGGTTAAGGGCAATGATTAGTCATGGGTTGCAAGATATACCCTAGAATTTTTTGAAATCTGTTATAAGAGAAACAATTATGAAAGAGTTGTAGATGTCGTACAGAAAGTTAATTGAATACTTGTAAAGTGTTATGTAATTTGAAAGTTCAAAACATGAAAATTCCTCAAATTATTCATGAAACTTCTTCAAAATATGTATTTTCCTACTTCTCTCATATATTTACACCAATATGAAGTTGAGACGTCTTCTTCATTAGTGTCGTTTATAAAAGGGCCCTCTTTTATAAAATTCGTGTCTATGCCAAAATCACGAAATATTAAAGCATTTTTAAATGCAAGTCAAGGAGTGTAAACAAAAACTCAAATTAAACGAAAGATCATATATTAAACTTGGCTAAAACTAAGTATATACTTAGTTAAAACCAAAACGTTTGTTTGATAAACAAACACCGGAACGAACCCGGGGTAAAAACTAACCAACCATTCCAAAAAGTAAAACTTCCTATCAAAAGTTCAAAAACAAACTAAGTTCTGAGATAAAACTAAAAGGCAGAATCCAATGTGGCATTATCAGCAGCGGGAGAGGCAGAATCCAATATGGCATCATCAGCAGCGGGAGAAGATTCAACTTGAGCAGAAGAAGCTTGAATACCAACTTCACCAGGAGTAAGCTCATCACCTTCGGGAACGCCGATCTCAGGTGAAGGAAAGTCTTTACTTTGTTGAGTTTTTTCGATTGCCTCTTTAGCTTTACCAATCTCGGAATTGAGATCAAAACCTTCCTGGCTAGCCTCCATCAAAGTCTCGAGGCGGGCATTCAAAAAAACCCAACTTACATCAAGTGTCAATTTATCTTCAAGGGCTTTGTAATCTTTCTCCCACTGGTCAATTTCAGCCTTCAACTCTTCTTTCTCAATCAAAGAAGAATCATAAGAAACCTTGAAAGGGGCGAGGGAACTCTCCAAGAACTAGATCTTATCAGAAGAGACACGCAGGTCTTCTTGAACCTAAGTGAGTGTTTGAACTAGCTCCCCGGCATAAGTCTCCTTCTGATTAATG